GCACTCACATATTGAATGGGGATTAGCAATAACTTATAGGGTTTGTGACACCAGTTAAACCTACCTAATTCTTTTTTCCAAGATTGGTGAGTTAAATAAGTTCCTCTGTATAGCGCATTCTAGATAAGAAATTTTAAGATATTTTGTTATGCTACTTGCAGATAAACATTATCTTAGAGGGGTCGGCTTGATTTCGTTAGGGATGAGTGTATTGGAAGTCTTGAAATTTATCATGAAAGTGAAATTGAATTCTAAAACTTTTAAAAAGTACAATTAAGTCCTAAAACTTGTCACAAAGTGTAATTGAATCCTAAAACTTTTAAAAAGTGCAATCAAGTCTTAAAACTTGTCAAATTTGTCCAATCAAGTTCTTCCATTAATTGCATTTGTTGAAAGTTTTACTCGATTGCACTTTTGTGATAAGTTTTATGACTTGTTTGCACTTTTTGAAGATTTTAGGACTCGGTTGCATTTTCGTAACAAATTTTAGGACTTGATTACATTTTTCTAAAAGTTTTAGGACTCATTTGTACTTTCGTGACAAGTTTTAAAACTTTCAATACACTTTTTGAAAACACTAGCTTCTAAAAAGGAAAATTCCATAAAAAACCCCAAGCTATGTCACTTGTGACAAATTTAACCTAAACTTTTTTTTGCGATACGAAAAATCCCAAACTATGTCACTTGTACCATATTTTCCTCACAATACTTTTTCAAAGGGCATTTTCGTCTTTTTTCTTTTTTTTTTTTGTTTTTTTATTTATTTCTTATCTCTTCACTTCGCCGGCCATGGTGGAGGGAAGCCGGCGAGGGCGGCCCTCGCCGGAATTGGGATCCGACGAGGGCCGCTCGACACCGACGAGGGCAGCCCTCGCCAGATCGGGCGAGGGCCGCCCTCTCTGGCTTCCCTCCGTCATGGCCGGCGAAGGGAAAAGAAAAAAAAAGAAAAAGAAAAAGAAAAAAGAAAAAGACGAAAATGCCTTTGGGCAAAAGTATTATGAAGTAAATGTGTCATAAGTAGCATAGTTTGGAGTTTTTCGTGTCACAAAAAAAATTCTGAATAAATTTATCATAAGTGATATAGCTTGGGATTTTTAGTGATGTTTTCCCCATCTAAAATTAGATCTTTGGAGATCTCATAAGCATCCAAAATCCCCTCTCGTCTGTATCCATACTTTCTATGTCAAGGATTTTTCTATTATATTTAAATGCTTATGTTGGTACTTGTTCCACCATTGGAATTGAGTTTTACGCTATCGTTGCCCATCACGTCACCACTACCTTTCTTAATAAAAGATACCATAATCATCATCTCAACCACTTTGCAGAAGTATTAAAATGGCTTCATCCTCCACCCTACTAGCTGTTGGGAAAACTTTCCTTCAGAATTTTGATGATACTACCACTGTCTTTGGTACTAATTTTTATTACAATAAGTACATATGGTGAATTAGTTTACAAACTTCAATGATTCCTTTGTATTAGCAAATACGAAAAATTAGGCTGTGACAATAAGGTGAACAAGCACCAATATGAGTGGTATATCTTGGTGGCTTGGAAGGACTTGTGTCAAGCTAGTGTTCTTGAAAGTCTTTAGGTACTAATAAAGGTGGAAGGATTATTGATATTGTCATCATGTGTCATTTCATTGGTATCGTCGCTAGAGATCATCAATCAACTCGTTCACAATTTGGCACGTGTTGATGATGAAATTCGGATTGTGCTGATGAGGAGGTATCATTGATGACGATTAGGTATGGGTGTGAAGATGACCGTTGATGGTACAAAAAAGAGCGGTTTAAAGATTGAGATCCGTAGTAGAGAAATTGGAAAAGATATCTGACAGGTTTCTACTTTAGTGAAGTGATAACTTCAACATACTCCACTTTTGGAAACCTGTGAAAGTGAGAGGAAACGATTGTATGGGCAATCTTGATTCAGGCATAGATATTTGCCTACTCTCAAACGGCTAGCTAGATCTTAAGGTCTTTAATGGTTAGATTAAAGACTTATATAAATAAGGATCAACAAAGCTTGAAAAAGGTTGGACGTGTCATATATTGCAGTTGTGCTTTGAAGCTCAAAATTATCCCTATAATAGCATATAGTCAAGTGTACAAGTGTAAATGCAATCTTGTGTCCCGATAGTATAATTTATCTTGTGAAAGAAACATGTTCCAGTTGTAACTTGCCTTGCTAATTACTAGTGAAATCCAGCTGTTGTTAGTCTATTAGCTAAAGAGCGGATGCAGGTTTGGATATAAAGTCGAACCTCTATAAATCATTGTTTGATCTATTTTTATTATTCATCATCTACTCTATCTATGCACTATCATCACACACACTGATAAACATTTCTCATAATTTGACTTTCTGATTGTTGTGTTATTTCGTGAAAGATCTTCAATATTTTTCCCTCGGCCGATTTAACATCCCTTCTGGTTTGTATTGTTAGTTTCAATAATTGATATCAGAATCTCGTTGCTTGTTATCTAAAGTGCTTTACTTCTAAGCATAAAGATATGCTTGAATCGCTACTTGGAAGCTTATTTGCTTCTAATTATCATGCTCCTAACAGGCCTCTGTACTTCGACGGAATCAACTATGGATACTGGAAGCAACGCATGCAAGCGAACATTGAAGCAATTGACCTACTTATATGGGAAATCATTTTCAATGGACTTGTTGTACTAGCAAGAGCTCCTGTTCAACAAGAAGGGGAACACCAGCCACCAGTTGCTGCTATTGCTGCCGCAACTCAACTTGAGGAATCTTAGGGGAGACTCACAATGCTAAAGCAAAGCTTTTGCTTTACTGCTCTCTCTGTCTCTCCATTTGAATTTAATAGGATTTCTTCTTGTGTTATAGCTTAAGAAATCTGGGACATACTTCAAGTATCATTTGAGGGAACAGACGGAGTTCCAAAATGAACATGCTTCTCAGAAACTACGAAATGTTCATGATGAAGTCCGATGAGATCATCACGCAAATGTTTACAGGATTCGCTAAAATTGTGAAAGGTCTTGTTAACCAAGGAAAAATCTTCAGTGATGTTGAGAAAGTGAACAAACTCCCAAGGGCACTACCAAAGGAGTGGAGTCATGTGAGGATGTTGGTTCGAAAGACAATAAGGATTCAACCCAATTTTAGGGACAAATGGTTAGGGACCTTGATGTCCTATGAAGTCGAAAATTCGAATGAAGAAACTAGTGGCAAATGTAAGAAAGTTATTGCTTTTAAAGCTGACTACAATGATGGAGGTAAACCAACTACATCTGATGATGATGATGACTACGACATGGCACTCTTCACCAGAAGATTCAAAAACCTAATGAGAAAGAGGGCTGAACATCAGAGGAAGAAATGAGATGAGATTGTCCGAAGAGAAGAAATTCTCCGGGCCAAAGATGATAGCAAAGGAAAATAAGTCATGTGCTATGAATGCATAAAGCTTGGACATATGAAGCAAGAGTGTCCACTCCTAAAAAAGAGAGAAGGAAAAATAGAGAAGAAGAAACGTGCCTTGCAAGCAGAGACATGGAGTGACACAGGTTGCGCCCCCGCCCTGTCACGCCACGCCACGCCGCGCCATGCCAAGCCAATATCCCCAGCCAATATCCCCAACCTATGCTAGGCATTTTTCGGCGAAAATTTGCAACGATAAGGCACTATGGGCGTGGATCCCGTGTGCCAGTGTATGTATCCCTATCCACCGGTGCAAATCGGTGTAATTACTCATGCCAATTCACTAAGGTGAGAAGAAAGGAATATATTTTTTACATTCACATAGTTTTGATTTCACCAGAGAAACTTTTTGACGTGCTTTGTATACATAGAATTAACCTCAAGACTCTGTTTGTTTCGCAAAAAAAAAATTGATTTAAAAAATATTTCCTTAAAAAATGATCGTTTAAAATAGTTGATCGATAAAAAATTATTTTCATTATCGGCAACAATTTATATTTAAATATTTTTATGGATGATAAAAATATTTTTCGCTCATTCATTTTTGTAAGCAATACAAGCGATCATTTCTAAAAAAATATTTTTCAAATAATTTATTTTTCGCGAAACAAACCTAAATCTCTATCTATTCTATTCTGGTGTTACTTCGTTCGTGCGTTTGCTAGATATGCAAAAACAGGACAACGATTCACATTTTTTTTTCTCGATTTCAATTACTACTTTTCCTTAAATTATAGTATGATGAAAAAGCATACGACATGGTCTTATTCGTGAACCTCTACTATCTTTTAAAGCTATATTTTCTGATCCTTTTACTTGGATTATAGTCTGATTGGTAATGTTATTATACAAGCTTATGTTGAAACTAAACACTTTGTTCAATGATGTTATAATAATTAAGTATTAAATCACGTCTTAATCTAATGGCTTATGATTTCACATAATCTCACATGGTATCAGAGTCTAGATTACCAATAAGTTTGGATCCAACAATCACACGAGAGAGATACAGGTGATCGGCTCCAAGCTAGGGCTCAATGTGTGAGGGAGAGATTATTGAGGTTGTCCCATATTAGTTGTAAAAGGAGTTGGTGGTCAGTTTATAAGTACGAGGGAAAGTTAGCTTTTGGGGTGAGAGAAGCACAAGATCACCATGAGATAATCTTTCAGGTCCCTATTTGACTATCCGATTAAATATGGGGCTAAGCGAAAATGATATTCATTTCAATCATACATACAACATCATCTTCTCTTTTTAGAGTGACTTTTTCTTTTTTGTTTCTTAAGGAAATCTTGCGTTCTCCCAAATTGTATTTTCGTTTAAAACAAAGCAATTAAAGCATTTCAAAACAACTAAATATTGACGTAGTTACGCATTTTTTTTTTATAATTTTAGATTCTAAAAGGTACTTTTAATATTAGCAAAAAGGTAAATAGGTAACATTTTTGAAAAATATAAACATGGCCGGATTGAATATTTTGTAATAAGTAATAATTCGTGCTTATTTTCTCAAAAACACACACACAAAAAAAAAGGACAAATGAAGAAAGGGTCGGACAGAGGCGGGGTTTTGCGAGCAGACCCATAAACCCCGACGGCGCCGCCGAGGATGTTCCGATGGCACCCTCGACCGACGGCGCTCCGCCGCACCCCCGCCGCGAAGCACCTCCTTCCTCCCTTCTTCCGCGCTCGTCAAGGTTCACTCTCTCTCTCCTCCCCTCTCTCTCGCTTCTCTCTCTCTCTCTTCTGTCTCTGATTTTCGTCTCTGTGCAGTCGGTCCGCGCGAGGTCTCAGCTCCTCCTCCGCTTCAGGCCCCCTTCTCCACCCGCATCGTCGGCGACGAGCCTATCCTCGTGAGCCCGCATTCTCGATCGCTCCGTGCGTTTCGTATTCCGTCGACCTCCGTCCCGTCCGGCGGACTGATCTGGTTTCGTTTTTGGGGGTGGGGGGGGGGATGCTTAATCGTACAGGTCCGAGATTTCATCCGTTCGGCGTTGTACGATCCAGAGCATGGCTACTTCTCCCAGCGGTCGGGCTCCGTCGGCGTGCTGGAGCGGAGCTTTAAGTTCAATCAGCTCGAAGGTAAACCTTTTGCTTCCGGTCCTCTAATCTCGGTTGCTCTGGGGATTGTTCTGTTCTTTGTGCAATGCATTGTGTGCAAGGTGGTTTTCGCGAATAAAAAGAATTGCGTAAATATTCTCTCCAATAATGTGGTTATTGTTAGTTAGCTGGAAAGTAATGGTGTTGTCAAAGCTTAGGTATTTATTGATTAGAATGAAATGAGGATGACGTGTGAACACTTCACTGCTTGAGTAAAGATGGATTTTTAACTTTAATACACAGGTCAGCCTTTCAAGTTAAACCTAATTAATTATCCAAGAGTTGTTTGCTCAAATGACGGAGAACATGCGAAAGCTTCGGAATGTTAGGTTTGGGCAGTCGAGCGAGGCCTGTCTTACCACAGGCTTTCAATGGTATTGTTGTCATCCTTCTGATCACGTGCACGTATTTCTCCATAGGGGCATATGAAGTTAAATCACGAAATGGTATTCGGAGATCGGTTACATCGACCAGAGTATTAGTCATGCTGATTTGTTTATCCTATGATAATTAGATAGACGGAGCAGCGTCTCTTGATGGTGGGATAGTTCGATTTACTATTTTTAAGGAACACAAATGCATGGCTTTTCAACTGTCTTATTTCTACTACTCAGTTTACTTCCTTAACAACTTCAGTCATTATACTATTCCTTGCGATGGTTAGAAGACCAACATAGTAATATCGAGAAGGAAACACAAGATGGTAAATATGAGTACTATCTTTCTGTTCATATACTGACGTATTGTAATTCTAGGCAGGAAGGATTACATGGAGCATTTGGATAAAATCTACAGGCAAAGTGATATTTCGTGGTTTACTCCTGTCGAGCTTTTCAAGGTATTTTAAGTAACTAATAACTTGTGTTGACGTATTCATGATGCTCCATGAATTTTTTCTAGGGTATGGGTTGTCTGCCTAGTGGTTGGAGGGTGAGGCTGCGTGATAATTCACACACAAGTTTGCAAAGAAAAATTTCTAGCATGCACTAGGTTCATGTGAGCTCGGTGCATCTCAGCCATTGAATATGATGGGTCACACATGGTGCCCAAATGATCTAATGGTTGTAGTAGGCTGTGCTCGGTTGAACATGGTATTTACATGATCATGTGAGGTATAAGTAAGTTTTGACATATTTGATTTGGTCTTAGTGTCTGACTGCTTTTAATGTCAGTGGCTGATGTCATAGAAGCTTAGTTGTCGAGTGGGAATTTGGATGGGCTGAGCAATTCCACTCTCCCTAGGCAGTAGTAAATAGATATCCTAGTGTTATGAAGTCAAAATAAATCTTAATGGCATAAGTACGTCAAAGCAATTGATAGAGGCTTCAAGGGATATCTATCGAGCATTGATACAAGGGCATTAGGTAGGACAGTTGTGCATAGAATAGCCGCTGCAAGCAACATTGAAAAGCTGTCATCACTTAGTTTCCATTCACATAGGGAACTCATACCTCTAGAACTCCAAGGTACCCCCTTGAGTTGTGCTATTTTGCTTGAGAACTACAATGTGAGAATTGACAATCAAATCACTGTTATCAAATCATTACGCTGAGTTCACGCTTCACATAATATCATACGGTTGTCACTAATGGTTGTCACTAATGGTCATCATTGTGTTTGTATGGAATCCATTATAGAAGTGAAGTGCATAATTTATATAAAATTATCTTTTTGTAGGTTCTATGGGTAAAAACCTATAGTGGGATCTATCTGGTTTTGCTTGCAAATTTAATTATGATTTAGGACTAGTTGTCTCGCTGATAAACATGCTTTTTGTAGTTTCATCACATCGTGGTATGCCATGCTAATTCACATCAGATCTGGTAGCTCTTCTCTAGATCTCTTTTGGGCTATCTTCTTTACCAGTAGATTTTGCAACTTGATTACATTATGTTTTCTCTTCCTGTAGCCGTGGTATGCCCATGGCATTGCTGAAGCCATAATGCGCACTGCTAACCTTTCAGTTCCTCTGAAAGTAAGTTTATTTGTACATATTTGTCTTTCTTCTTGTTGCTAGATCTACAAGTTTATCTGTTTACAAAACATCGAAGCCCCTTTTTGTACATAAGTGTCGAATTCACTGGCTTCATGGCATTTCATTCTCCATTGGAAATTTTGCATTTTTTATTTTGTATCCTTATCTTTTCTGCCTAGAATGGCGATGACATTAATGATTATTCTGATTGAGTTTGTGAACCAAGACATACATCCTCAAGAGTTAAGGTCGTAATTTACACAATGATGGTCATGACCAAAGTAGTTTCAGTCCTGCTCTCTTCTATAATTTTACAAGCACAAAGAAGGGTTTGAATTGGTCATGGCTTTTCCGGCTTTCCTTACTTGTTTAAGGAGTTTTTTCCTTGCGGAACTGGAACTAGCACTGCAGCTTGACTGTTCAACCTTCCAGATCTGAGGCCTTTGTGCTCGCATTTTGAGGTTTTGGAACTTGATGATTGTCTGCATGTGCAACAAATACTTATGAGTTACCCATTCTGGGATTAACCAATGAGATTAGCCACTGTTGCCAGAGTCGAGACTCTCTCTTTCTCTCCCCAAGTGCATCTTCCGTGCAAGTGTGCATCTATCGCAAACTTGAAGAGCATCCTTCAGCTGAGCGGCATTTCGTTGGACAACACTATAAACGACTAGGATAGTTTTAGTAAGTGCTTTCACATAGCTACTGTCCCAGAAGGCGAGGGGCACTTGCTAACTCAGTGGTCCAATGCTGGTTTTCAGCCGCTAGCACTTCTGTTACATTACACCTGTGTGGATGAAACTTATAGTTGATGGCCTGACATGGATGAAATTGTTCTTTTTACTTTGTTTCCTCTATGTTGCTGTTGCTTTGGAAATCTTCTGAAATTTTTATTGCAATCTCCTGCTTGAGTTTGAACCAAAGTAATTTTAAGTTGCTGTGCTTTTCGACAGATTATTCTTGAATGTCTTTTGGGCTATTGATAGAGGATGACATAGTACCTCTCCTTATTTGTTAGACTTAGATCTACTTGCTTACTTCTTTAATATAAGAAAGTGATGTGCACTTTGTAATATTCTTTCAGATATATGAAATTGGAGGTGGATCAGGAACTTGTGCAAAGGGCATCATGGATTACATGAAATTAAATGCACCAGATAGAGTTTACAACAGTATGACTTATACGTATGTGCAATGACAACCACTCTTTTCATTCTGGAAATGGTGTATAATGTGCCGCACTGAAAGAGTATACTTTGTTTGTATGTCTTGTAAATTCATTTGCATCCAGACATATACTATACACTCTTGTTTACATATCTTGCGCATGAGTGTGTGCACTTTACGAGTTTGAGATGAACTGCATTTGAGAATGATAACTCTGGATGTAATTCCCTCTTGCAATCATCACCTGCTCAACAGTTCAAGGTCATGCTTGCAGAAATGTTTTCTTTTGCTTGTACTATAACTCATCATCAATCGTTCTAAAAGATGAAAAGTCTGGAGATTTTAATATCAATTAATAGTTGTTGGAAAGATAACTTTATTTCCACAAGCCCCTATAAACTAGTGGACGGCTGATTATGGATGAGAGGTACTATATTAGGACAAAGTATCACACAAATCCTTGGTAGCATGAATCCTATTAAATAAAGGTGGAGTAGAATGTGTTCTTCGCGCTCTTGAAGTCCATATTATTTTTGAGTAAGCCTTTTCTATATGCAATAGTTCCACTAGGCTTCCAAATGCTGGTCAGCCATCATGCTAGTATGATAAACTTAGAAAGGTCGCAAGTGTTGATGGGAATTTCGTATGATTAAGGCTGAGATGGTTTAATATAAAAACCACAAATGTGATTGTTTTCTGTTACACTCTGTTCTGCAAGTAGATAAGTGAAGGTGTTGGTTCAGTGAGGCAGGCTAGCTTTGAAACATGTTCCTATGGGTCTGGTCAGTCAGTGCTTCAAGTTGCGTTATGTGCATGGAGACTTTTATTGCTAGAATTGAGTATGCTTCTTTCAAATATTCTTTTGCATCTGGAAAGCAATAAAATAAGAATGGCGCTTTGTACATCTTTTGCAGCTCCGTAGAAATTAGTCCCTCCCTGGCAAAGATACAGAGGGAAACAGTTGGAGAAGTCCTCAGCCACTCTTCAAAATTTAGGGTGGAATGCCGTGATGCCACGGACCGAAGTGGATGGGGTAAAGTAGGAAGCTTTTTTCTTTTGATTGATCTTTACTTCTTTAATGAGAGTCGGCTATTGTTCTACTTGGAACATTTTATGTGAATCTGAGTGTTAAAGGAATTGAAATAGAAAAAAAAAGCCTTCTCATGCCATCTTTCCAAATCACATTGATTAGGACCCAACAATACCATCTTTAGATAATATTTTGTGTTGATGCTGATGAAATTGGTTGCTCATCCTGGGGATAGTGTTTGGATAATTATGATCAGACAGATTAGAATGATGGTATTTCTAGGTTTGCTGTGAGGGATTTAGAATTGTGAAAAGATATCATTCTATGTCAGTTTACTGAAAGTAAATTTGTAGATCATATGTACTCTGATGGGGATTCGTCTAGATCGGTGTATCATAGAACTTCCATGCAATCTCAAATCATTAGGGACAAGTCATATTCTTTGCTCCCTAGTTTTAAAATGAGATCTTTATGGAACTTACATTCGGTTTCCGATTTATTGATCTCTGCTTTTTTATCTCAATGCACTAAGAGAACTATTTTGTTTTGGTCTCTGGGGAAGGCACATAATCTTATCATATTGTGCTTTCTGGTGCATCCGAAGTGTGTTTTCTGACTAGATCAAATTTTGCGACAAAGTGTAATATTCTCCTTAGATCTGTTTGTTTCTTCCCCTGAACTTGGGATTTGGATGATAAATTTTGTGCCAATGTTAGCTCTCCTGGCTTATAGTGCTTGTCAGCTTATGTGCTTTTCTCTCCCAAGTTTATGTGTCTCTATATATTCAAATGAAATGCATCAATCATATTTTGATGATTTTCCAATATCATATGCCTTTGTTGCAGGGGACCGTCAGGACCAACCTTGTTGGGTTATTATGCTTGAGGTATGCTTGACTTCTTGGAGCTATTTCCTGTTTTAGGTATGCTTGACTTCTTGGAGCTATTTCCTGTTTTGCTCAAGTCATGAGATTCTTCTTCTTAAGAATGGTAATTTTCAATATTTGTTTTATTCCCTTCTTTATTGCAATCTGGCTGCAAACAACTAGCTCTTTTGTTTTTGTCCCCGTCTTCACTTTGCAAAGTCTATATAGCATCTTCAGTTGAATTATTTCACCTGCATTTGCTCCATCTTTAGCTAATTTCCTATAGTTACATCCTTGGTCTTTGTTGAGTTATCGCCCTTAGTGAAAGTTAGTTCCTTTTATTTTGCAGGTGCTTGATAATCTCCCACATGATCTTATATACGCAGAAACTCAAACTTCTCCGTGGATGGAAGTGTGGGTCGAGAAACAAAATGACAGGTTGGAGAATTGCAAGTAGCATACTAGCTCTGAGTTCTTACTATTTTTAAGACTGAATTTTACAACATGGGTGTAATGAGGTTCATTAAATAGATTGGCCAACTGCTGGAGCAGTTCTATTATGTGGAAAAAGTAATAGTTCTGCAAAACCTTCTGATGTGACTGAGTTTCACTTTTTTTTTTTAGGCCAAACTAAGTTTCACATTTTAAATAATATGACGTTTGATTGTCTGTCAAAAAGTTTGTTATTTTTTTTATTAGCTTATGCTCATTCTGTGTGTCCCTTCACCAGTTGTTTCCTTTGCTTCCCTACATCTAAAAGTTTTTAAGCTGCAGTCTATTTGATACTTAGATTGGATTGGAATTGTCTACCATAAGTGAAAGAACAGATATTATGGTTTCATTGTTCTCTCTGGGTCAAGTTGTGTCCACCTACTTATTTCCTTGTAATAATTGTTTTTTTATAATTTTCTTTTTTATCCCCCTTTTTTTGGGATACAAAATCTTTGGATTTAATCAGCTCTTAGATTCCCACTTTGTGCATAATGGAGATGAGTTCTGACATGGAACCATTTGCTAAAGTTCCGCAAACCAATTAATGCAGGGAAACCCTATCAGAATTGTATAAGCCATTAGAGGATCCACTGATCAAGAATTGTCTTGAGATCGTGAATTCAGCAAAAAAACAAGCTTCTTCTAGTGGTGTAAGATTAATGGCGGATACTTTGTGGTCTAAAATCTTTCCTAGACCCCGAAGATGTTGGCTGCCAACAGGCTGCTTGGTAGGAAACCGTAACTGCATACTTTTCTGCCTTTTACTTCATTCTACTTCTAGTCTGCTAGCTTGGAGACAAACCCAATACAGGAACCTTTCTCTGGTCATGACACTGCCTTTGCAAATATGCAGAAGCTACTTCATGTTGTACACGAGGCTCTGCCAAAGATGTCTTTGATTGCTTCAGACTTTAGTTACTTACCTGATGTAAGGATACCTGGTGAAAGAGCTCCTCTCGTATCAACAAAGGTACATCCAATCTCTGTATTGTGTGTGATGCTGCCCATGCTTTTCTATTCTATTACAAGCTATCCGTGGACTGTCTTAGTGCTTCGAACTTTGAATTGAACCATGGCTACATGCCACGCATCAATTATGAGACGACTCACAAGTGGCAACATTTTATTTGCCGCAGACATTATATTCAGATGCTGCTTTAGTTGATTCTCGTGTTGCATGCTTTGACCATTGTGCCTCCTTTAATTTCTCCATGAACTATACTAATGATGTTCTCATAGGCTTCCACATCAATGTATTATGATTGGAACCCCTCAAAGGGCAAATTGGTCTGGTTTCTTTGAGTTCTGTGAAGGTTGCAGTATGTCGGGAAAAAAGAGCTAGAAATGAGGTTGTAAGAAGAAATGCTATGGTAGGTAAAAAAAAAACTGAGATGCCATGAACTTATGCAGGAATGCAATAGAAGAATTTAGTGAGGATATTGAAAAGAAATTCTAAACTGAAGTGTTTAGAAGATGGTTATACAGATCTCAATCGAATTTACAGCATAGCAGACTGCAGACTGCAAACTGTGTTTTGGATCCATGTGGTCTGTCCTCTGATATAGTAATTGTTAGCCACTAATTTGTGTTGCTATTTTCATGTAGTTTTCTTAAGTTCTGGAGTGGTGGTTTTAACTTTTTATAAACAGCATGGAATAAACAGTTTGACCATTTTTGGCTTTTGTTCTGCAGAAGGACGGGAGTAGCTCAGATTATAATAGCTATTTGGATGCAAAGGTTTGTAGTTCATAGAATCACTTTAAATGGTCCCAGCAATCTGTCACCATGGAATGCTTATTGACATCACATGAACTGATTGCCATAACTTAATGAGTATGGTCCTGTTTTGAGAAGCCTTATGAGTGACTTCTTTTAGCGACCAAAGCCTATTGGGTGAATTTAGTAATGGAGGTTATTCAGGAATATGCATTTTAGTGTTGAAAATTTTGCCAAGTATTTGTTTATGTTCTTTTAGTCTTATTATTTGGAAATCTACCTAGTACGCCTACCTTAAGTATTTAGTTGTATATGCATGCATTGTACTCGAATGTCTCTCTAAATATATTAGGCCATGGCTGTGATTACAACACCAAGCAATCAATATTTTGGAACGCTCATGCCATCTGTACAGTAATGATTTGGAATGCCAAAATCAGCAATCACAACATTTCAATATGTGAATAGATATTGAACTTTCACATGATGCCGTAATCTTAGATCTAGGCATAATTAAAGGCATAATTTTTTATATTTAATATCATAAACCTTTTAGCTATGCATAAAGTACATTTTAATGTGCTAGTACTAACATGAGTCAATCATCAGTTTGGATAATATCCTAAAGTTGATCCATGCTCCTTGGGCCACGGTTCCTTGTCATTTCACTCTATAGACAATTTTGCTTGCTAGAGGTGTCCTCGATGGAATGGATTAGAATCTATACAGTTTAGAATATAGAAATTTTAATCGCTAGAATGGTAATTTCTAACTGCTAACTAAAAAATGTATATCTAACTAGTATATTATATATTAGTTTTGACATAGAACCAAGTTGTCTAGTAATGGTCAGGATAGCTCAGCTGGTAGAGCAAAGGACTGAAAATTCATGTGCCACCAGTCTTATTGGGGTCCAAGACATTATTTGTACTAAAGATTGGGGCGATAATGATTCTTTCATTCTCCCATTGATGCAGTGCTGCATTTGTTATGCAGGGTGATGCTGATATATTCTTCCCTACTGACTTTTGGCTTTTGGAACGGATTGACCATTTTTGTTCAGGGTGGCTGAAACTTCATGAAGCTGCATCCTCTAAACAAGGAAGAAAGAGGAGAACAATTACAGTGAGACTGATTTTTCATGCTACTTTATCTTGTTTAGCAATGCTTCTACTGGAAGAAATTTTTTTATCTGAGTGATAGTAGAACTTCATTGCGTAGGATATTGATTGCACAATAATTTCACTCATTTGATCAGTTTACTATGTTCATATGATAAATACAACAACATGCTCTGGGTACCTTTAGTGAGGGAAAGAACTTGCGTATAGGGACACTGCATTATCCAAGCAAATGAAGGCGGGGAGTGAACCGCTCCATATTTATTGGTGCTACAGTGACCTTAAGACAAAGTCACTTTTGACTGCGAGGTGGTTGCTGTCTTCAAGGGCGACGGCTACTGCCTCAAAGTGGTCAAGCGGCCTTGAGGTGGTCACAGAGTTCATAAGGCCATGGCCGTCTCTTTTAGCCGCAACTTTTTTATTTGTCAAATTACCATTATTTATTATACCATGTTATATTCGATCTTATCTTGTCCGACATGCACCGATTTTAGATCAGATAGTATATACCTATATCCAGTATTATAATACCTCCGGAAAGCAGAAGTACAGGATATATAAGAAATGCTATCCTATTCTAATCCTATCTGGTCAAGTAGTCTATGTGGCCAAAGGCATGCTATACTCTGTTGGATTGCTTTGATTCTGTCTTTGGCATTATTGCTGTCATGGTCATGATTTGCTTATGTGACATTATATGATGCAGCTCGATACTTCTTCATTCATGGAGGAATTCGGCTTACCTTCAAGGACACGGACCAAGGATGGATACAACCCTCTTTTGGATGACTTTAAGAACACAAAATTCTATCTTAGCGTTCCTACTCACAACATTAAGTGATGAATCTCATGTGCTCAAGTTTCCGAGAACACCACCGCCTCTCTTGATGGAGGAAGAGATTGATTTGGGTTTCCCCATGGAAATACAGCATCTTTCAAAGCAGATAAAAGGTCTCTCAATCTCGGTTTCCAGAGCATTCTATACTTGATGAAGTTTCGAGATCATAGCCGATTCATGTTTTGCGCCGCATCTCACATGCAGCACAAAGCTGTGCGATCCAGTGAAATGTCAGCTGCTATTTCTCAACTTATTATTTGTTTCATTGGTAATAGGATGTCAAGGATGGTCACGGGTCGACGCTGTGCTATTTATATTGATTCTCGAAGATACAACTGTCCTTAATTCTCGATAGATCATACCTGCTACTTTTCAATTCTTCAGGCTACTCTTAATTTACACTGATCCGGGTCGATGTTGTATGCCATTGCTTTTATCAGTCAATAAGCCTCGGTTCCATGACATGCCCTCTTTGATATACCGTTTTCATTGTTACAGAACAAATTCTTCGACTCAGCAAAAGAGAAACAGAGAGTAACTTCGGCACATGTACAATCTTCTAAAAATGGAACACGTGCAAAAAAATGGACACAACTACACCACTTCTGAGCCACCTGTCTTGTTTCGTTCCAATAATTCAAGTTGAGTGATTCACACATTTTTGTGAAAGAAGAGGGAATAATAATTGAGCATAAGGTAATCTAAATCCATGCATTGATGTCATGGAGCCGTAAAGAAGGAAATAATAAACAGAAATAAGTGACGGTATTAGAAGGGTTGACTGCTTAGCCACCCTTCGGAGTCAACGAAACTTGTGCTGGTCAACTGGCCGACCGTCGCCGCGCTCAACTTCTTCTCCCAACCCACCCGGCGAGAAGTATTGGACCCGGGTCCGTAGCACCCGTATTCTGAAAATGTCAATTGGGACCTGATCCATTTCAATCAAAGGGAAAAGAAGCAACCTTCAATGCAACTACTAGAGAATGCAAAACTAGCCAGTTTCTTTCTTTTTGTTAACCCATTTGAGGGTACTAGTAAACCTAAAAGCTAAACTAAAAGAGGAAGGAAGATAAGTTCTGCCATTTTTTAGCTAGTCAGTAGCAGACAAGCAAACTCCTAAACTGAGGTCAACAGCAAAGGTTTCACTAAACAATAGGAAAATTATAGCACAAGTCCAAATATCTGCACAAGTAGTCTTGGTATGTTTATTTTGGATCATAAAAAGCAAAAGGTAATAATAATTATTTTTTCACAAGAATCTAAAATATCATTCGAGTTCATAAGAAATTATGGAAAAATTATATGTAAACCTACATGTCAATATTGACATATTTTGAGAAAGTTTAAAGCGCTTAAGGATCATGCTCAAGTGTTCTCTTTGGGTGATTTTTCAAGATGAATTAGCTAAAAAGGGCATAGTGGATAGAGGGACACACTCTTGTCCGGTGAAATGCCCGGCTTCCCAGCCTCGAGCATGCACGACATTGGTGAAATTGGAGCGATAGAAGATGACTCTCGCGTAGGCTCTCCACGGCCGTCCCAACAAGGCCGACCCAGAGCCGAACACATTGCACTCCTTGAACACGAACCCGTTCGCATCGTGGGGGTTGCTTCTTCCTTGCGCTGTGATGAACCCTAAAACTCCTTGCCCTAGGGCTCTTCCAAGCACTGATATTGCACAGTTCTGCAAAACAAAGCGCAAGAAATGGAAAAGGGCAATAAAAGAAAACATTTTAAGTTTAGAAAGATTGTGAAAAAAAAAATTTACTTAATTCTACATGTCAATACTTATATATATTGAAAGGTCTAACGTCTAAGGCGTTCTCCACTAAAACAAAAGTCAAAAGTCAAAAGTCAAATTATGAAAGCAGCAAGAGTTGAAAAAGTTGAAAGAGTCGAGCTCGATTTAAAAAATGTCAATAATTTGTGAAGTGCATTCAAGTCTAGGCTACATTTATTTAGCAAAAAATGATTGATTCAGGAAATACTTTCCTATCATAAAAACGTTGACTTATATTACTTACAAAAATAAATAAACGAAAAATATTTTTATTGTTCACGAAAATATTTAGAGATAAATTGTTGATGATAATGAAAACATTTTTCATTGGATAATTATTTTGAGCGATACAAACGATTATTTTTAGAGTAATATTTTTCAAATTATTTATTTTCTATGAAATAATCGCACTTAGGTGAAGCTTCATTAGGTTTGGCGTTGAATTGGTGGCATGCAAAAACCTAAGGAAAAGAACAACACAGAGTGACCAATTTCTTAAAACATACTGCCGATGATGACGATGATTGCATTAAAAAAGATGAATACATGTCTGCATCTACATATAAAGGTTTTCTTCATATAAATAAGGTCGTTTGCAAGACCAAAGTCAAATTTACCTCGTAAATGGACTGCCCACTACCGAAGATGAAGTCGACGGCTCCTTGGACCGTGCAACGCTTGAAATAATGCCGTCCTTGGTCGTCCCACAGTGTATCTTGCAGACCATAGAAACCACATCTATGGAACACATTCTTGTCCCCAGAAATCCTAACTGCAACTGCTGGGGCCCTAGGGTTTTTCTTATTCATCGGATTATTATACGAATTCTACAGCCAAAAAAATGCAAGAAAAAAAAGCATCAGTATGTCCATTTACATAAAATCTACAGTTAGATATACGTGACATACGAGAAAAAACTAACTCGAGGACGCACGTTTCACCCATTCCACGCATCGCAACATTGTTGAACTTTACATTATTCGTCGAATTATATATTACCCTGAAACTGATGCTCTTGGCGACGATGTTATCGGCCAAGGAAGTGAAGGTCGGGCTGTGCGCAACGGTGTCGTGGTCGTCCCACACGACCTGGGTCGTCCTCTTCGCTTGTCCTTTGAGGATGATGTACGGCTTGTCCTTCGGTATTCTCACCTTCTCCCTGCATTTCACATTAGGCACTCTACTCAACTCAGGCATAAGCTTGATACACCTTTGTAAGGGACTTTCCATTTTTCTTTTCATTAAAATGAATACAGATACATCAGACGTGACAAACTTTTATCAAAGATAAACTCTCAAAGTTTGGTTAATAGCATAAGAGGAAACTAATGAGCGTATTAAGTACGACAAATATAGTCAGAAAGAAAAGTTACGTCCATGATTCCATGAAGAGACTATTATTTCTCGAATTTTTGACGCATGCATAATTAGAATCTAAAATTACTTACGACTGCTCGAACATTGAGGAGCCCCATTGAATATTCAGATTTCGATGTCAAAAAAACTAGAGAGGGAAAAAAATCAGTGAAACAGTACCTATAAATCCCTTTCTTGATGTAGATGCAAACCCAGTTCGTGTTATTCGAAGGGACGGAGTTGATGGCAGACTGTATGGTGGAGAAGTTGCTGAGTCGCCCGGATGAGTCGACAAAGATCATCCGGTAAGGCGCTGCATTCGCACCGATCCGCCGGAGCCAATCACTATCGTCTGCAAGTCCCTCCGAGGATTTTGTATGGAGAAGAAGAAGAAGAAGAATCCATGCGCAAGGGTTACACAGAAGAAGCAATTTGATCAATCTTGAATAAGCCATGAAAATGCGATTGGAGGATCTGAGACAAACAAAGAATCAATGACAATGGAGGCTAACAGTAAATGCTGAATGAAGCTTGTGGATTCACATATAAAGGTGAGGATTGTTAGTGGGAGTTTGGCTGAACAAAGGTTGACTCTTGAGTTATCCAACTATCCAATCTGTCCAAATTGTAGTGTGTTTGTGATTGTATAAACCCTCATACTATAATAACAATCTGGTGAAGTTTTTGTTGGTTTGAAACAGGGTCTTTTTGTGTGGGAAAATCACTGACCATAGAGTTTGCATTTGTGAAGGCTAGATTAGTTAGTAAGGAAAACATAAGCTCCAATGTGAATGGACGGTTCTTTTTCAACGATTTTGGGTGACGCTCCTTTTTTTTTTTTTTGCGGGAAATGAATAATTTGGAAACAAACGATAGCTTGTAGCGCTTACAAAAATAAATAAATAAATAATATTTTCATTGTTCACGAATATGTTTAGAAATAAATTGTTATCAATAATGAAGATATTTTCCATTGACTATTTATTTTAAAGGGTTAATACCATGAAAAACCTAAAATTGATACACTTGTGACAAATTTACGCTAAACTAATTGTTTGACCACCAAAAACCCCAAATTGATACATCTGTGATGATTTTACCCTCTGCTAGTTTCCGTTAAATTTAATCGTCAAATTTCTAAGTTGGATGACATGTGGCAGTTGACGAATATACCAATTTAGGGTTTTACCCTCCGTTTGTCATAAGTGTACCAATTTGTGATTTTTCATGGTATTAATCCAATTTAATAGAGGGTAAATTTGTTACAAATGTACCAATTTTGGAGATTTGGTAGCCAAAAAAATTAATTTGGGGTAAATTTATTATAAGTGTACCAGTTTAGGGTTTTTAGTGGTCAAAAAAAATACTTTGACGTAAATTTGTCACAGGTATATCAATTTGAAATTTTTCGTAATATTAATCCAATTTTAAACGATACAAATTATCATTTTAAGAAAAAAATCTTTTTTAAATCATGTATTTTTTGCCAAATAAGCAACATCTTCGTGCTAAAATCAAGTTTTGAGAGAGAGAGAGAGAGAGAGAGAGAGAGAGAGAGAGAGAGGATTTATGGGTTGCCTGAAAAGGGGGGTTAAGTGGAGGTCGAACGGGCAAGTGCCTAATTTGGTAGGCCCGAGGGAGGAATTAGTCATGATGTGAGGTAATTGATTGCTTATTGAAGTAGAAGCGAAGTTTGGATTTATGGGTTCGGTGACTTGCAAATTAAGGGACGGTCCTTCATTTCACATACTGCAAGTGGCTACAGAATTGCAGTGAAAACTTCTTCTTGAATAATCTCATCATGATGAATCAACAGTGGTCCCAAGGAAACTTCTTTCTACAAAAGATGGAATATCTTATTATAGTGAAAGCCGTTATATTGAAAACAACTATGCTAGAGAAAACTAACTTGGTATAGCCGCAATTGTGCTGTAACTGTGTCGTGCCAAAACACGTGTATTTGGCAACACATCATTTAAAGATATTATGTTGCACCTACAAGATATTGATACGTGTTGCAAAAATTGCTGAGAGATCGATGAGGGTATTAAAATAAGAAAAAAGACCCATGACATTGGTGTATTTTTTTGTTCTTTATTGTTGAAGTTTCTGGCATATACTATTCTCACCATGTAATAATAATAATAACAATAATAATAATAATAATAATAATAGTAGTGTCGTACCGAAACAGGTGTGTTTGGCAACACATCATTTAGAGATAATATAATGTACCTACAAGATATTAATACATGTATCAAAAACTAGTATGAGATCAGTGAGGGTATCAAAATAAGAAAAGAGGCCCATGACATTGGTGTTTCTTCTTTGTTTTTTGTTGTTAAAGTTTTTGGCATATACTATTCTCACCATTATTATTATTATTATTATTATTATGTAAAGGAAGCTCATGCTATAAACGAAGTGGATAATACTCAACGTACCTAAGAACGAAGACCTAGTGCTATATCGATTTGATTTAAATTTAATTGGTGCTTTGGAGACAACTTCAAGCCTTGAATCCACGGAGAAACGTTCTGAAGAAGTTGGACAAGTTTGCAAAGGCAATTCGGTCTATTTCGGCAAGAATCATTAATTAGCTCTAGGTAAATGTTTCTAGCTGAAAACAGCCCTTGCAACAACTACTTTAACATATTTGAAATCTCCAACATGCTGAGGAGGTTTGGATATGCGTGAAAGTGAGAGTTAAGGGTGGCAGAGGTGATCAAAACGCTCTCAAAGCTTGTTCTTACTACTCTTGCTTATTCTTTGAAAAATACCTTGTGATTCCGATTGTAATTCTCTAAGAGAGTGTTGGTGTAATCATTGTAAAGAATGCTATAAGCGCAGAGTGAAGTGTGTGTACTTATAGAGTGAGCTACAGTCCCTCATAAAGAGGCAACTTCAATTATAAACATTGTCAAAGGCTTTAAGGATTGCACTACTGTATTCCAGCCTAGTCATTAGGCTCTTAGAGATGGAAGAGTAGAGTACGCCGATTAGAAACTCTGAACCACTATAAATTTCTTCACAGTCTCTTCTATCCTTATACTTTTTTTAGAATTTTATTGATAGAAGAAATTTGTTTTGCATTGCATATGTCGCCTAAAATCATCATGTCATTTTCTACACGTATTGCATGAAAAAGCTTTAAGAACCCTACAACAACAAATTCAATCCTCTTTTGGTCCATTTCCAAAGAGAACGTTCAAATTGCCCTAAGTTAGAGACAAGCTCAAAAACCCATGCACCCGCGTGAAAATGGGGGATCACCTTTTCAATCCCAGACCTCTCACCAAGGCCATTCCCGTCGTCTACGTTTGCTCTCGTTTCCTCATTCTATTTCCGTTTTGGTTTTAGCATATCTCCTTAATTATATACAATCCCTTAATCAAAATAGTCTTTTCGAGGGATGTAACGTAAGCTAGCTTCATGGCTTGGAATCAATGGGCATCCAAATGTAGGCCCTAGATGGAGGTTAAACAAGTCAAGCGACCGTACTCGCTTTTTACTGATCGTTCTTTGCTTGTACCGGGCCTCTTTCTCGAATGAGTGATCTTTCTGACTTTTCAAAACAAGGTGCCCTTTTTGAAAGTACATCCAAATGCGCATGCTTTGCCATTGCTTTTGCCATTTCCATCTTCCTCTCTTTCGTTTGACTTTCTCCCTCTTCTTCTTTTCTGTTTTATGATGCCCTCCAGCACTTGCCTTTGCTTTTACTCGACATTTGCTCTTTCTTGGTTTCTTGGCCCTTTTCAATTCACTTTTCATACACAAGTGCAAGATTTTTGTTCCCGTTTGCTTTCTCGATACGCCTTGCCCTAGTATGGAGGATGATCATTAATGGGGTTTATGGAAACAAAGTTCACAGGCTCAATTGGGTTTACTCTAGGGGTAATACTGTTCAGGAATGTAATGAACCGTCTTTCTTCATTTTAAGGGAGTTGTACCTGGTCTCGAAAGTCGCTGGTGGTCGGACCGCTTCTTTCTGTTGTGCCTCGAGCAGGGGCGATGACCATGACCGCGATTTTGAGAGAAGAAATCATGCCTTACGCGGGGTGCAGATTGGTTTAGCAATGGATCACATGTAGGTTTGATATAGAAGAAATGATAAATGACACAAATGGTCCTTAAATTTTGGCTTAATATGTAATGTGATCCTTAGACATTTAATTTGTTCAATGTGGTCCATGAACTTTACCACAATATACAATGCAGTCCCTGAACTTTTAATTTGTTCAATGTCGACCCTGGATTTTGGTACATGTTCAATTTAGTCCTCGCACTTATGAAAATATTCAATATTGCTCCTGAACTTGAATTAATGAAAACACAATGTTGAATATTTTCATATAGTTCATGAACTAAATTGAACATTATCCAAAAGTCCAGGATGATATTTAACTAATGAAAAGTTCAGAAATCATATTGCACATTGAGATAAAGTTTAGGGATCACATTATACAAATCAAAAGTTTAGGGGCTAATTGTACATTAAGCCAAAATTTAGAGATAATTTGTGTTCTGTTCCTTAGGAGAAATGACCTACTTGCTACTCATCATTTCAAAAATTGTCAATTAATTCTCAGGACTACCGGAAATCGATTTTCTTGCCCCAAGATCTCAATTAATTCATCATTTCAAGAATTGTCGTATCCTTCGATGGTATTGCTGCGTTCCTGCCTACAAGAAAAAGGTGAGATGAGAGCATCGTCTGACTAAAGTTGGAAAATCCCTAAGTTTGCCCCATTCTGATAAATGGTTTGGGCTTCCTAATGCTAATCCTACGATGGCACGTGAATCCAGAAGAGTGGCCAGCGAGGTTATGTAGAAGGGCACGCGATTCATTATTATTTATAAAAGCAAGAAAGGAACGACACCGTTTTCGACATGCACCTGTGAGTCGGGGAATGGTCAAATTCCATTAATATTTCATCTCAAGGGAAATATTTCTTTACAGCATCAGAATTCACAGGATCCGATAATTCTATTCTCGTCTATCAGAATAAGCCAACCTCTGGAGAAATGCTTTCTATGCAGTAAACTACACGGGGACCCTAGAAGATTGGCTTGAAATCTTCCTTTGGATGCTTTGATAGCTAGCAGGACCCAGCACAAAATTTAAATCTCCAAATTGAAAGAAGAACGTGGCCTGACTTTCTCATTCTATGCCCTAGCAATTCGTTTCCGGTAATACATATCGAGGGTAGACTAAACTGGCTATTTATTTGTCTGTTCAGATTTACGCTATGTTTGTTAAGAGGGATGAGAAGGGAAGAGAGAGGGTTTTTAAAAATGCAAATTGCGTTCGGATGAAGGGAAAGCCTAAACCCTCTCAAATAATTTGTTAAGAAAAATTTCGAGAAAAATAACAGATTAGGAGTGATTCGAAAGGACATAAAATGTACAAAAAATTGATTGGCCTTGATCTTATGTGTTTCGGCGCGCCTTTGAATCACTCAATCCTCAACACCTTGGGGTGGTAGTTAAATGCATGGTTCCAGATTGGAATAGCTCCGGACAGGAAGTTTCAGTTGAATGTACTTCACTCTGTTTTTTCAAGCTTCAATTGGAGATGTCGATGTTCGACTCGAACGTGCACCAACAAAGGATTGACTTAAGCTCTCAGTTTCAGCATATAATCCGAAAAACTCCATGATTCTGAATAACCTCTTTCCAACATTTTTCCCATCGAGAGACCAGAAACAAACCGCAACCAAAAACTGCGATGATTCCATTCATTGTCACTTGTCCATTATGATTCTACTGCTATCGCTGGCCAACCAAGCTCGTATTAATAACCATAAAATATAGACGTCAACCTCAAATTCTTTCCCGAAATTGTCGCAGATGTCTACAAGACTAAATCGACATGTAAGGGGCAATAATTTCCATATGGGTACCGAGCATTTCTTCCGCGGCCTTCTTAGCCTTCGCCCTCATTTTGTTCAACTGCTTCTTCCTCTCATATACAAGTTGTGCCCTCTCCTTCCTCTTTATCTCTGAGTTCCTACAAAAGTCATACAAATATATATCATCATCACTCCCAAACTTGCAGCACCAAGGCCCCTGCATTAATTAAAGTTTCAAAATCAAGAAACACTCCAGTGTACCAATGCATGTAGAACAAACAAGTAAATAATTAGTTTGGTCATATGCAGTAGCCGTACAAATCATGTGCTGATGTAATCTCATACAGACTGCTATGCACATTCAGCCTATAGAGAAAAAAATTCTCAGCCTGGATACAAGGATCAAAGTAACCATAACAAACTTAATTTTCTTTTGGCTGAAGAGAACACTCTATGACCAAATACAAGCAACATGACAACTTGATAGGAGAAGCAATATGTCTAGTTATAACTGGTGAGAATATGTCTAGATATTAAAAGGCAGCAGATGATTCCTCTTCTCCTAGATCAGCACCCAATCGAAACTGACAGAAGCACTAATTTATAGCTGCTAGTTCAAATTTCAAAAGCTCATTGAACTAAAGTTGAGCCATATGGAGCGTCCTATACACCTGTATATAGACCACAACTAGAAGCCCTCTGCAAACCTGATAGGGGTTCTGGTACAAATTATTTCATGTTCTTTGTGTAGACTATACTACTATATGTATAAGATTTTCTGCATAAACACGCCAGACTAAACTTCGCAATAGCTGCAAACCCAGCAACAAACATTTGCAACTAAACCTCTTCTGCAACTTCTCCTATATAAACACTGCTTCTCAAGCTAACAAACAAGTCTAGAAGACAGAAGGAGAATTATACATATTTACATTCAAACCTCAAAATTTACAGGTTCACAAATGGCGACTACAAAACAACCTGGAACCAGCATCCTAACCTTCTTTTATTAAGTCATTTATCTCCAATAAGAAAACAGTCGCCGATTGTGATGGCGATGCTGATATACAAATTACAGGAAATAAGCCCAAACCCCTCCTTAGTATTGGAAACGATCTGGTAACAGCTGCATGCAAAAGAGACAAGTAGCCAGTTCTCCCCTTAATGGTATCAAAGTGATTCCATCCCACTTCCGATGACAGCCTACCCAACAAGCAGTACTTATGTCCAGCTTGGAGCCTCAAAACCCTGTACAGGAGCCCTCAATCTTCAATTCTTGTTCAAGGAAATAATAATCATATAGTGCAAATAGGAAAATCATAATAGATGGTAAACCTAGCCTGGCCACACAAAACTCACTTGAGTGCATCAGGGATGGCCATCCTTTTCATCTTGTCATATGGAGGAGGAACTCCCTCGTAGGCCTTCAATCTTGCAAGTGCTGCCGCTCCTCTTTTTGTCTTGTGAGGAATCATACTAACATAGCAGCAGTTCAGTTATAGGAGGGACTGATATAACAAGAAATTGATCACTACAGCAAAAACTCTCCTCAGCAGCAATTACACTATGCAGTGCATAAAGTTACAGAAGCAATTTCAGAGTCTAATAACACTTCCTCCAGCTCAAACATACGTGCAGAAAATCAAGCTGTCAAGAACATTAGAACTCAAAAAATGAAAGAGGAGCTTCAAACGGATCCTATTGACTCCTATGCAAACAGCCAACAGAAACCTCGCCCCAGTTAATCCGATAACTGCATCCGAAAATCATCAAAAACCATTCCAAAAACTCTCATCCGACTAAAATTTTAGTTCCTACGACCAAATGCAGCAATAAACAGCACCAAACCTCCTGTTGTCAATTCCAATTTCATTCTAAATGAGCATAGACACAAATAAAGAGAATCTCTCTTTCCAAACCACACTTCAACAAAACAAAAACCCAATTACAATTCCATCAATCCACTAAACAATTTCGTCATCTTCAAACCTATTTTTCCAAACGAAAAAGCAAAATCGATCCTCTCGACCTCATTACACATGTCTCCTAAATGGGCACCAAGCACAAACAAACAGAACTCTCTTTTCCAAGTACACCCACAAACCTGTCAATCCACTAAACGATTGCATCATCTTCGAACCACATTTTTCACAAAATTCCAAATTACCTGCGAATGGTGAGCCAGAGGATAGAAGCTCATAAGCAAACTTCATGATAGAAGCTCAACCTTTTTCCATAGCATTCAGGACAGAGCAAAAAGAAACAAAAAGTTCATGGTCACCCCGACATAACAAAGCGATTGATCAAGAGCATATCACAGTGTCGAAACGCCGTCGACAATCAGTCTTGACTTTTTGGTTCGAATGCTTGAATCTATCTGGTAGAGGCCTACATTCCCTCGTTTGCTGATCAAACCCTCTTATGCATATGTAGCCTGAAAAATTCAAGAGGTACAAATAAAACAGTAGAACTACAGTCCAGTAAATTTTGCATTTTAGGCATCATGTCACATGACATTATCTCTTATCTGTGTCTAAAAGCATAGTCTGTCTTTTTTAACCGGTCATGCAATCCTTGTTCCAAGTTCTAGGCCACGCAAGTTTTTCTTTGTTTTGGTTAATGGACTGATCTTTGTAACTGAAATGCCATGCATATGATGAAAGAATCTGAAAGATATAAGGGCATTGTTAGAAAGTCCAACCCAACAGCTTAAGCTAATAGGTGGAGGGAGAGCACATGAATATAAAGAGCAATTAGGATCCGTTGTCAAGCGATGTGGGACAATATTTCAATAGGCATAGTCATCCCTTGTTCCAGTTTACCAAAGATCTGTTTCAGTGGCAATTGACAGAAATTCTTGGCGCTGGCCTAGGACTGGAAATGCTCCAACTCTCTTTCCAATTGGCTCTTTGTATCATCTTTAATCATTAGGACTTGAATGCCTCGCCAAGCCCATAGTTCTTGCTCAATAGTACCTTTTGTTGAAGTATTATCCCACGTCGATTGACAACGGGTTCTAAATGCTCTTTATATTCATGTGGTCTCCCTCTACCTAATAGCTTAAGCTTTTGGGTTGGACTTTCTAACATGGTATCAAAGCTAGTGCTATCCCTTTCGCGAATGTGCGTGATCAAAATTCCATGTGAATATGCATAGTCAAAATTTCACGTGCTGCTCGTAATCTGGCTTGCACGTGAGTGGGGGTATTGAAGTATTATCCACATCGATTGACGACGAGTCCTAAATGTTCTTTATATTCATGTGGTCTCCCTCCACCTAATAGCTTAAGCTTTTGGGTTGGACTTTCTAATACCTTTTATAACCTATGTTAGCCCGATGCATGCATAAGATGCAGTCCAAACCATTCTGGTCCAAGAATGACAAAGGAGAAGATGATGCAGATTCCCTGTCTCCCTTTTCGCAGGGGAAGCACCTATTAGTTGGCACTTTGCCTCTTTTTGTAGATTATCCAAGGTTTGGATTTGTTCCCAAGATGCTTCCCAAGCTGAAAAAGAGACTCTCGCTTTCCAAGAAAACTCAGTTTGACCACCATCAATCTTCTTTTCTACCGACTTTCCAGACAAAATTCCAATTATTCCACTATTTAACACGAACACATCCTTAGAAGTAGCAGAAATCTTTAAACTCTATACAAAGCATGAATAAAAAGCTTCGAATCCCCAGTCCTGGGTTTGTCTCGAGTGATCGATACCCCTAGTGATCCTTCCACCATTCAAATGATGACAGTCCACCACAAAAGCCTCCTTTTTTTCTGGCACTGTCAACGTTGAGAAACCGATCATTAAAAGTTGTTTCCCTATACCAAAAGCAAAAAGTGTATCCGACTCCCTTTGCCCACTTTAAGAGTAGTCTCAAGGAAAAACTCACTCCCAATCTATGCAGAAAATTTCATTAATAGTTATGAAGTAACTCGATGACGTCATGACATTGAACCAACCATTTTAACCTGTTGAACTGTGAACCACCAGCCTGACTTGTATTTACCTTTGTTTAGTTTTTAAAACATTGATCTTGCTTTGAACTAGACGCTACACAAAATTGATGAATTCATCTAGTATTGTTTTAAAGAGATTCCTCATCTGCAAAACACAGATGAGTGATCTTTACCTTTTCTGAGAAAGTAATGCAAAATTCAACCCATGTCACAAACTGAGGAGATTTCAGATGGCACAAAGAATCAGTAGAATGAACTCCTACCTCAAAAGAGCAAAGGTCTTCATGAGAGCACCCTTGATTGGGCATGTTGGTTAGACATTCTATGGTAGTCATGAAGCAACTCATGAGCTAGCAAAATGCTGTTCCCAAAGTTTCTTCCATATAAATGCACACTGATTCATATTTAAGATGCAAGGCAGAATATTATTCAGCCTCGAGGTCAAAATAGCAGTAGTACATGTGCAGAGCATATTGCTACATCAGATTGGCCAGAAATCAGAGACTTCTCAAGGGCTTTGGTTTGGACTTTAGGTACTAAAGAGATAGCATTAGAGTAAATAGCAGAAAGCCTAATGCTTCCAAACATTAGAAATGGTCTCAGTAAATCTGCGAGCATCTAGCAGGAAAATTTTTGAAAACTGGACTGGACTGATCAGTTCAATCTGGTGGATAGAGTGACGTCCGTGGTCTGATCTGGTTCAGACCCCTAAAGACACCAGTGGTTGTTGGTTGCAACCTGGAGAAACCCAGTGTTGACCCAGTAGTACCTGGTCAAAGCTCCGCTCAACCCAGTCAAGAACCAATCCAATTTGATCCTATTAGAGAAGGTAAAGAAAGGAGATGGTGGTGGCTGCATTTTTACCTAAGGAAAGAAAATTCTCTACCAAATATTTGACGTCTACCATGGACCAAGTGTTGATACCGGTTCAAGAAGAATTCTCAGCTCCAAGAAGATCCTCAGAGCATCTGAGAATTAGTTTACAGTTTAGTTTTACATAAGAAATTCCGAGCGTATAACTGCAATATCGTACCAGACTTCAACTAGATCTAGATCTCCTGGATTTAGGAACCTAGTGAGAATATGACCTTTGTTTCCAGAACGCCACTTCAATTCTCCTAAGTTACGCATAACAACCTCCAAGAGTTCTCTATACCAACCCAAACTATAATTTATCCCTCACTATGCAATCTTGTGGAAATATTTTCTTTGCTAAATCTATTCCTAGCACGCATTGCTAATCACCACATGCACGCATGGTCACCCACTTCAGGTTTCTATGATGTACGGAGTGAGTTTGAGAGGATCCTTTAGAAAAAACAAAAAGGGGACAGTAAGCCATTTTTCCCAATAGCATTGAACTGCGCCATTAAATATGTAAAATTACGGGATGGGATCTATGTGGAATTTTCTAATCTCACCTCGCAGAAAGCAATCTGTCACCTCTTCTGGTGATAATCCTGCCACGGGCAATATTAAGTACATAAACCCACTCCTTTCACCCTTCATAATTCTTCTATATGAGCATCAGGGATCAGTATAATGTACCTCTACATATCGACAAAACCGAGGCTCCACAATACAATGTCCGTCTTGTCAAGTTTTTTATCAGGTCCACTTGAACATTAACCGGGATTCTACTTGAGCCATCATCAGCAAGCACCTGCAAGTCAATTTTAGTCTCACGCAACAGTCTGATGTGGAAGAACGGCCAGAATAGTGGCAGATGGAACTAGCAATAAACCAGCTGTGTCTGCAAATGACCTCATTGATTTGGAAATATGTCCCATTCAACGGAAAGTTGCCGCGTAAAGCTGTGCGCACTGGTACCTATTTTCATGACCATTTCACATCAATTCACAAAATTGTAGTTTAACATGAACAAAACGCTCCAAAAGGACATCGGGATAGTCTTCTTTTTCTTTTTTTTACCAATATCGTTCCTTGAACAGTGTCAGAACTATGTCTGTCCATATCGTTACCGAAGCTCCTGGTATTCCTTTCAGACAGGAATCCTGCAGATGAAATTCCATGATGAAAACAAGTTTATTAGATGGCATTTGTGAAATCAAACACGCAACATTCCTGCACTAGAACTTCAGAGGACGATATACTAGTGTAGTTCAACCACAACTGTTAAACAGACTACTTTCGGGAGGTGATATGAAGCAAATTTAATAAGCTGCAACTAGTGAAGCACTGTAATTAAGAAAGCTGCATTGGTTGTTTACCTGGTTTCCATATAGCAAGCAGGTATGGATATGCATCGTCAATTTCTCGCCTGCATAGCTATTAACACTTACATTTTACGCTAAAGTATAACATCAAAAAGCTGTGGATATTTGCTCATCCACTATGATATGAACTCATAAACTGGACAAAAATAATTGCTTACTCCTTCTAGAAGGGGGTGAGAATCTGGTAGCTCAAAACTGCAAAACAACAAAAACTGTGTTACAACTTGGAAATAGTCTTTGAGTTGATTATACGAAGGTTCCAAAGGGTCAAAAGAATGTAAGATATACTTGAGTGCTCAAGAGACTATGTGATACTACATTTATTACACAATAATGTCCATATCCAAAGGATGTTTTGCAAGTTAATCAGCGAAAGCTGAGTTTCTGTACAAACTAATATTTGTATTGTTGATTTGTTAGTGCAACTTTCAATGTTGAGTTGTTAATAATCACATAATAATTTGTCTGTCGTGCACGCTCAGAGAAAAAAAAAATGTTTAAACACATAGAACAATGAACAAGGACTGCCAATGGAACTATAGATGAGACTGAACCATAGAAGTAGGTAGAGCCTCAGCTCCTCAATTTAACCAACAAATTTTTTGCCCATCCATGAAGGATTTCGCTACTTACACTGGGAATGTCATCCTTGAAACGTTGTGCTTCACTTTGGGCATGAGAGGAGGTCTTGTCTCTTTTAGCAACAACTCGTTCACACGATGTTTTGGATCTACCATAATGTCCTCAATGTCCTCAATGCAGACGTCAGTTCTCCTGGAACCTTCACAATTCCCATGTGACAGTTTCAAAAGATTGTACACGATTGAGGAAAGCTAGTGCTGGGCAGAAAGGAAAGTGCATCTCCGGTACCTACCAGCTCCGTTTGGAGGATAACTAGACCTTTGTGGAAGAATGCTTGAACTGCAGGCAAATATACCTCATTGTCAAGTGAAGTTAATTTTTGTGTTGGATCGGATTACCGCAAAAACAGGGATTGTAAGACCAAGATGAAGGAACTAACATGGCAGTGATGTTAAAAAAAATTAAGAAAAATTTGAGAACAATCAGAAGGAAGGTATTAAAAAGTCCATAACGGTTCCCACCTAGAGAGATAACTAAGATTTTCTGCAGAAGCAAGCAGAGTGAAGACCAGGCGATGATTGGATTTCACATCTCTCGATTATACAGAATTCTTAAGGTTAAACTCAAGTACGTTGGCTAAAGAATATCCCACCAGAATTGAGACATCTCTCTGGCTGTGGAGAGTATCAAAGCAAAAGTTAGCATACCCCTCATTTCTGCTTCCATAGTGTTTACATTCATCTCTAAGTGGACAAGCATTGCAGTTCGGTTGCGTTTTTGTGCAGAAAACCTGTACAACTTTTTCAGCATCAGTATCCACATGTGGTCATATATGATCGGGGAATGAGACAGAAATCTTAATGTCCTCATTCTCCATGACATGACTAACCACTCACCTTTCCCAAGGTGATCATATGATAATGCAGCTCATATCTGCAATGCAGAATTGACACGTTAGCAATGAATCTACTAGTTAGTAGGCTTGTTTAAACCACAGAGCATTGCCTATTCTGTCCAAAAAAAAGAAAGCATAGTTATGTAGTTACAATGTCCGATGGTCAAGATGGCAGAGCCGCGTCCAGAGGTACTTCTGGATGTCGTCAACTGCAGGGTATCTGATCAGGGAAAAAGATCAGAAATTCAATAAAAGAAGAGCATTAGAGAAATGTTTGAGTACCGTTGTTATACTTTTGCAAGAGATGTAGTTGGAATGTCTCCGGCATCGGTTGAAGGGGGACCCATCCAAGGCGGACCACTATGCGGCCCACATTTGTGTCAACCTTTTTGAGGTGATAAATTTGAGAACGCTCAGAGAAAGATAAGATACATCAACACAGAAATAAGCCGCTGAATTCTTACTGGGAAGGCAGGTTGCTTGAGGCTCAAAAGACGTATGCATTCCACGCTTTTCAGTCCCAGCCCTTCTATTGTCAGCAGAAATTGTCTAATAACCAATTTCAGAATCAGTGACTTCTAAATTCATTAGAAAGTTCAAATCAAAGTTTACAACCTCTTGCTCACTCATGCCAACATGCATAAAAGTGGAAAATAAAGTCCACTCAATCTTACTTTACTAGGTTTGGTGGGACGTTCTTTAGCCATTCAAGGTCGATACTCCCATGATCTCTACACAGTCTATGAAGAAACCCCTACCAAAGTTAAGGAACCGTCATCAGCTATCTTTGACATTATCATGTAAGTTTGTACTATATGAGCTTTCAGCAAAAGTTTTTTTCTCCTTCAAAATGTATACCTGTATTCTTTCTGCGAGTTTATCGTGCATGCCTCTGCTCATTAGAATTTTAGCTAAAAAAGCTGTATCGGCTTGGCTCACCGCCTCCCAATCCAAAGATTCTAAAGGCCTAGGATTTTTTTCTTTGTGTCTCCCTCTAGAGTATAAGTTTCTTACACTTTCCCAGTACATTTTCTTGTCATTATCTTCACACATCTTTATTCCTCTTGAATTTGCGCCTCTTCGCGCCTTTTTTTTCCTGCTCTCTGGGCAAATGTGATGATAATCTTTTTGCATCTTTCTATTCGGAAATTTTGCAGCAAGTGCTATGAAGGATGAGCTGCAAAATAGATGTTCTTCTTTCAAGCTTTTCTTTATCAATTTGCCAAAAAATCATTCATTCTCACACTGTTTGTGACTTAAAGAAATCTTAAGGAAGCCATACCTGGAATTCTTGTCTGACACGTTTTGTGTTAGAAATGCTCCGACTACTGAGTCCACAACAGAACCTTTCCACTCCATAAAACATCGATCCCCTGCACATTGCATTACAAAATGTTGTTATAATTGCGCTCAGAAGTAGAAAACATGGAGCAAGATCTCCTTATTAGTTTCTCTATAAAAGTACCCCTCTAAAGTTTTTCCGAGTTATTCAATATAGGTATACACTCACCTTGGACACGACGCATTTTCGTGACAAAAGAAAGTGTCTGTTCGTGGAAACGCTTCCTTTCTTCTTCCCAATATCTTTTCTTGTCAATATCTCTTTCAATTTCTTTTTCTGCACATTCGCTCCCAAATTCATTTAATAATGCCCAAACTCTTGTGGTCTCATAGTCTATGTCAACTTTAGGCCGTGATAGCCATTGCCAGCTGAGATTCATCCTTGCCTTTCTCATATCAACCTCTGCATAATGCTTTCGCTTCACCTGATGGACATCTTTGTCCTTCCTTGTTTCGACATCCGAAGCTCCTTTTACTATTACGTCCATAGCCTCATTGGTTTGTTGTTTCGTTGGGGTCTTAACATCTTTCTTTCTCTTTTCGCCACAACGCTTCTCCAATGAGGCTATGCTCCGTTTGTCGTCTTCTTTTGCGGCACTTTTCCTCAAGCTTCGTGGACCGATCTTGACAGGGGTCACCGGAATCCACGGATCCCGTATAGTCGCCTCCATCAGATTAGTCCTGTCCAACGGATCTTTCATCTCACGTACTATCTGCATCTTCAGCTAAGAAAGCCGAGTCATTTAATCACATCAGGTCGGTAGATGTGGCATGATGGAAGACAAGATAATTGGCAAATATGGCAATAAACAATTCTTAGAAGGAAAAGCATAGCATCGTCGGGAACAATGACATTAGGTGTTTAGTGTCTTGAGGAAACTAAATCCTGCGCCAACTGATGAGCATGTTTGTGGGCAGTGTGTGCTGTAACAGTTGGACCCAACGGCTATGTGCTTCTTTGCAACATTTACTGTAATGCAAAATAAAAAAGGATTTAAATTTCAACTCCATCACAAAGAAGTGTACAATCGACAGTGCCCTCGAGGAACATATATTAGTGAAACGAGCAAAACAAATCTAAGATCCAGTCAATGAGCTGAGAAGTGAAGGTGGAAACCATCAAAGTTTGAAAACTACTTATCTACTCAAACCTTGTCGGGGTAGACGACAGCTACCACCAGAGAAAATGGTGATCCATAGTTACACCACTCTTGATCGGTGAAGAAAATGAGGATGGGTCGACCTGGTGGGGTTTACAGGTCGCAGGTGGGCGAGAAAAAGCGTACTTGGTAAAGAAGAAATGAGGGGAGAGAGGACTGGCGGGGGTGGTCTGGGTTACGAGTGAGGAGCGACAAGATCAGGGGAGAAAGGGTAATTTACAACCCGGCTCGCCCCAAAATTCTAATTTAGTTTCAAGACGGCCACGGACCCAGCCTCGATGGACCCAAGGTGCTGGTGAGTTGGGCGTGCTAGCCGGGTAACTGAGCAGTGTTGCTGAGGACCCAGGCATACCTCAAGAGACTCGGGCCCTGCCTTTGGGACTCAGGCCATGGGCATCGAGATTCTCGTGCCCAAGTGTCGAGATCTCCGGTCAAAGCGCTAGAATATTTGGTACAAACGCCGATGTATAATTTAAGTATAGACATTTTATGGATTATGAAAATATTTTCTCTTGATTCATTTTCCTAAGGGGAAATTCCAATTAAGGACCCTAAATGGGCCTTTTTTTTCAAAAGAGGACCCTAAGTGGACTTAGTGTCAAATAAGGACTCGAAGTGCCCAAAAAGTCTCAAATAAGGGCCGGGTGGCAGGGCGGCCAAAATGCCTGCCGGGGAGAATGTTACTATTAAGCCAGACATTAACTTTTTAATTTTTTTTTTCCTTTTTTTTTTTTTCTTTTCCTTTTTTTTTCTTCTCTTCCTCCGCCGCCATAGCCAGGGCCAATGGAGGTCGTCGGCCTCGAGGCGAGGCCGCCTCGCCGGCGTCGGGCGAGGCCGCCCTCGCCGGCGTCGGGCGAGGGCCGCCCTCGCCGGCGTCGGGCGAGGGCCGCCCTCGCCGGCGTCGGGCGAGGGCCGCCGCCCGGTTGCCGGCGAGGTCGAGCCTCGCCGAGATCCGGCGAGGCTCGGCCCGCCGGCGGCCGGCAAGGCTCGACCTCGCCGCCTCTCGCCGACGCGGTGAGGTCGAGCCTTGCCGGCGGCCGGCGGGGCCGAGCCCTCGCCGATCTGGCGAGGCTCGACCTGTCTAAGAATCGGGCGAGGTTCGACCTCGCCCTAGCCGGCGAGGTCGAGCACGGCCGGTTCCGGCGAGGGCTCGGCCCGCCGGCCGGCCCAGTGGGAGCTCGACCTCGCTAGAGCATCGGCGAGGCCGGCCTTGCCGTTGCGGGCGAGATCGGCTCGCACGGCCAGCGAGGTCGAGCCTCGCCCGGGCCGGCCGACGGGCGAGCCCTCGCTGGGCCGGCCGGGCTCGACCTCGCCGTTGCTGGGCGAGGTCGAGCCTCGCCAGCGGCGAGCCCTCGCCGGCAACTGGCGAGGCCGGCGACCTCCGCCGGCCCCGGCTATGGCCGGCGGAGGAAGAGAAGAAAAAAAAAAGAAAAGGAAAAGAAAAAGAAAAAAAACAGAAAAGGAAAAAATTAAAAAAAATTAAAAATTTACTGTTTCGGTGCCGGAATAGTAACATTCTTGCCGGCCGGCAGGCATTTTGGCCGGCCGACAACCCATGCCCTTATTTGAGACTTTTTGGGCACTTCGGGTCCTTATTTGAGATTGATTGGGCACTTCATGCCCTTATTTGACACTAAATCCACTTGGGGTCCTCTTTTGAGAAAAAGGCCCCACTTGAGGTCCTTAATTGGAATTTTCCCTTTTCCTAAGCGATCCAAATACCGAAAAATGAGGAAAATATTTTTTAAGAAAAAAGTCTTTCACAAAAAAGATGAAGTAGATCTCTAGATGGTTATACTATAGAGATAATGACAAAAAAAATATATTGCATCTTGTTTTTAGTAGCATATTGACAATTCACAGATAAATAAGACTTTCCTTAACCATGGTTTTCATCCATGATCTTGAAGCTAATTACTTTCACTTAACTTCACTCGTAACTTCAGCTCCTCGTCATCTTCCCTTCAACTCTTTTCTCTAAGTTTCTTCTATAATTGATTAAAATTCGTTACTTTTATAATCACTCCGACCAGACATAGCATTAGAGAGGAATTAGCATAGAATCTGGCTTGAGCTGGATTACCATTTTAACCTTTACATTAAGTGAGAGAGCAAATTTACTATGGAAACTAATTGGAATATGGAAAGCAATTTTAGATAACCTTGGAAAATTTGATATGTCATATTTTATTTGTCAAATCAACTACATCTATATCCACTTTTTCTATTGATTTTTTTCCAAAAAAATGATATTTGACTTTCGATTCCACAGACATCAAACTTCTCGACAAAAATGAACTGAGTGAACTTAAAAAGGATGAAAGAGACATTAAATCGACCACTTATATTTAGATTTGTCAAAGATTTTCTAATTATGCATTTATTTGTTATTCATCAACATCCAATTTTAGAATTAATACTTAATAAGATTGTAATGAAGTGAGGTAAGAGAAAAGCATCTCCTTAAAAATAGGAGAAAGGTATACGTGATTATTAAAGAATTCACAAGTTACATGTTTATCCCCATTTATTCATTTTTTTTAGACCTCAATAAGGGTAATTAGGGGGAAAAAGGGGGCAAACATCCTTGAAAAGTAGGAACACCTATTCGCTCCAATTTAGGATGGGAACCACCAAAATTGAAAAGTTTATATACCAAAAACACTCTCGATTCGTTCACAACATTACCGATTTGTATCCTCTATCTTGAAAACCATAATTTTGCACCTATTCGTCATGAGAATAGTGTACCGATTTTTTCTTTTGAAAATATAATCATAACCTTTCCTCACAGCCACCAACATATAATCCAATTGGGAAAACTCTAACTCCAAGTCCTAATTCGACCACTATGATACATGTTGAATGTAGTCCCTGAATTATATGAAAATGTTCAATGATGACCTTCTATTAATTCAAGATCAGGGATAATATTGAATATTTTCATATAGCTTAATGACTAAATTGAACATGAGGGGACCAATTGAACAAATTAAAAGTTCATGGACCACATTGCACATTGGGTTAAAGTTTATGGATCATATTGAATAAATTAAAAGTTCAGGAACCACATTGAATATTGGGCAAAGTTCAAGAACTATCTGCGTCATTTTCCCAATATAATAATATGATTCCTTTCACATGGGTCAAAATCTCTAAAGGAATTACTCTGAACAAGCATACAAGGTTGTGATCATTTCAGGATGACTCCTACATATGAATAATATTACAAGACCTCACCCATCAGATGTGAAATTTCGGTTACCACAAACTTCCTCAGTTAAACCATTAAAGTCCTCATCAATGCTGGTTGTGCCCCCATTCAATGTGTGGGCCAATCAATTTCTACTCCATTCACCGTTCTAAATGCTTGCCAATCCAAGCCCCTACACCAAAATAATCACTCCTCGTTCTTGTCGAATCAAGTATAGACCTAGTCAATCCATGAACCATACATCTTACTAAGGGTGGTGTGTTATTATAATAATATCCACAACGACTCGACCTGTTCCATATGAATAAAACCTCCAAAAAAAGTACTTTGACTTATTACACAATATTTTAATAATTTTATCATTTGAGGGGTGGATTCTTACTTATGAATAACATTACAAGATCTTCACAGTATGATAATCCTAGAGGTATCACATTCACAGCTAGTAAAAACCATATTAAGTTTGTCGAATGCCCATGCATTATACTATCTTTTAGTAAAGATTGTACATAATTGTGCTGGGAGAACAATGACAATCCGAACAATATTGGATTAGCACAGCGGAACAAAACACTCTCCCCTCTTGTGTAAACCTAATAGGAAACAAATGAATAGAGCAATAAAAATACCAAGCACCCACAAACACATGACGAATTTTTTTACATGGAAAATCTCCTAAGTGTGAGGAGATAAGAAATCACGAGACCAGAGTCCACCAAAAAAACTTCACTATCAGCAAAACTGGGTGAACAAAGTTCTTCTCTAGTATATACTAGAGGTACATAGCAGCAAAGACATCAGGAACATTCCTGGCAATACACATGAACTTCACTAGAGACAAAGGATAAATCTCACCAAAAATGCAGGTTTAGTTAAACTCACGAAAAACCTGATGTAGGGAGTTTCAAGTGAAAATCAAACAAATCATATTCGAGAAGAATGTGTCACAAGCATGCTGACAAAGTTTGAGCTCAATCGGACCACGAATCTAGCTCCGATGTCGGCTTGATGAAAATTAGATACTTCCCAACCCAGATTTTCTACTATATTTTTCTCTCTTGTTACTGCGTCTCAAAAAACGTTCTTTTTTGCGGTTACCACATAATAATAGTGAGAAACCCTATTTATTCATGGATTATCATATGGGCTTAAGTCTTGGGCTTGCAAATCATTGGGTTTCCTCTACATGAAAGTGAACCCAGCCAACAAATTAGACAATCAAGTTCTAAAAAATATCTACATGAGGTTCTTGGCACATGCATTTTGCATTGGTAACAATAAAACTCTCTTAGTTCATTACTAGCAACTTTGCAAACCAAAAGGTGAAAACAGATAAAGAGGTCCTTAAATAGATTTTCTTTTTGAAAATAAATAATTATTTTCACATGAAAAGACCATTTTTTGGGTCTAAAAACACCATTCGAATAGCTATAAGATAAATAAGTTATTCAAAAATAATACTCAACATAATCCATTATATAGAAAGTATAATATTTTTGTTTTTCATGATAAAATAATATATAGATATAAAGGATAACCAATGAATATGAATTCATCTAAATTCTTGTTTGTGTCGCACTAAAATTATAATGTAAAACTACTCTTGGTTATTGGCTAGCTGTTTGTTTGTTTTTCCATATAGAAGGCCACGGTTGAAGAATATGTGTTTTTGTTTTTCCATATTGAAGAACAAGGTTCAGACCTTGGTGCATAAAAAAATAATAATGTCTTTTCTCAAAGAAGCTTAAAACCCGATATAGAACTTATTCAAATTGAGAAACAACATGGTTGGACTGGTTCTAATAAATAGATTGGTAAATCTTACCTTGGATTTGGTGGGCGTTGAACCTACTCTTCCCAAAACTAGACCAACAAGCCGATTCCTGCCGGTTCCCACTTAAAATGGTTCTCGTGCACATGTATTCTAAATGAGTCCATCTAAACATCTTCGTCTATTCAATATGAGATTATCTTGTGTGGACTCATTAGCCTCTATCTTTAAAAATCATGCAAGGAGAATAGTTTTACGAGAAAGCTCATCTAAATAGGAAAAATTCAACCTTCATGAGCTCATTGATCGTGTCAAAATAAGCTCGAGTTGGCACAAAGACGGAATTGTTCACATTTAATACGATGGAGTATCAAGTATGTGTTATGTGCCTAATTTATAGAAGTTGGACAACACGCATATGAGGAATTTCCTAGCAAGTCTTGTTCTCATATAAGGACAACGCAATGTACCTCTTCGAAAGCTCCAATTGAGAGTACTAGAGTTTGACTTTGGAAAGAAGAGGGTCATTGGTGCTGACTAGACTTTGGAGAGAGGCCAAAAGCCCAAGCATGTGCATGTGTCAACCCACAATGGGAGGAAGCTTCGTGTGTTGAACTAGTAGAGGACAAAGAGGCATGCTAGAACAAGTCTAAAAACATGAGATATCCAACGTTTTACGGAAAATGAGTAATTTAAAAAATATTTTTTTAAAAATAATCACTTGAATTACTTAAAATAATTGATCAATAGAAAATATATTTTTATTATCGATAACAATTTATATCTAAATAAATCACTCATTCTTTCGCAAAATAAACAGAGTCTTAGTATTAATTATAACTATTTTTTTAACGTTCAGTTAAAATCTGTGACATTACTTAGGGTAAATCAATATTAATATATTGAACATCAATAGAAAAAGACCTCACAAAGCATGGCTCATTTATCTGAGTGTCGCCTGATAATTCCAAAGCCAAAAAAAGTCTAGGACTCAACAATTTCTGACATGTCAACCAAATTGTAAGAAGATACTTATGTAGGACAACTCGTTGACCTTCCACTCTCTCGTGTGTACCCACAAAATTAATCGTTCTCATTGGCAGCTTATGCAATAGCGACAGCTCTTGTCGGTCGCCTCGACCACTTCACCCCATTCGAGCTGTTTTTTTCTTTTTTTTTTAATCCAACACTTAGATTGACATGATGTCATTAAATAATCAATTATTCACAGTTATAATTTCGAGTATATATGAATTTATGAGAGTTCTATCTTTGACCCTTATATTCAATATCGAATTTCAATAATATATTTTGATAGAAAATAGACTTCTTGTGAACGTACCATTCTAAGGACCAATTATAATCGCCATATGTACTGAGAGTTACTACTAAAACTTCTCTCCCGAGTAAGCAAGAAAGAAATTCTTGGTCACATTATAAATATATTAAACATAGAGTTATCATATGATGAAAGAAATTCTAATTGAATTTTGAACCAACTAGGACAATTCTGCATTCAATATAGGATTCTAACACATAAGTGGTCTCTCTCGCGGCACATTATAAAAAAGGTTAATAGGATAGTATTTATGTTTCCATCATTTCTAACCAAGTCCCGGATCTTTTTCCGGATAGAGAAGATCAAGGGATAAATGAACTCTATTTCAATTACCGATGATGGGAATTTATTTTCGTGAGTAACGTTCAAACCACAACAATATTGTAAGATTTTGTCTTTAATAACTACCTCCGTTCCATTGATATGTTAATCTTTCCTTTTGAAGATTGTACATGCAGAACATGTTGCACACTGGCAATCGATTTGGTTAGTGACATCAAATTTGGAACCGAATATGAAGTTGTAAATCCGCACTTGTTTCTTTACATTTTGCATCACATATTTATCGTATCTTTCAAAAGTTACCTCATGATTTGGCAGTGAGATCTCATCAGCATATCTTATGGTACAATGCAATGAAAATTTACTCACAAAGAATGTATGTGTCTCAGCCTGTAATTATTTCAAACGATAAGTGCAGTATATTAAAAGGGAAAATAGGTAATTATTTTTTTTGTGGCCAGTACAAGAATGTAATACCCTAGTATTTTTCTAACATCAAAAGAAAAAAACTACATTATGTAATGCAACGTTCAATATGTCAACTCTCTCTCTTACTAGTTGATTTATTATCATAATCACATCGCGCTATTTGCATGGATGAATCCGAATATCTGCTGAACCGAACTCGCTATGTCTTCTGCTGTGAATCTCGCTTCACCCGCAACCTGCACAAGAACAACACAAACGAAACTGACCAGTGAAATCACATATTTTCCTAAAAGTCTTTTGGTTGAAGTGAAACACAGAAAAATCTCTCTGATCATCACAATTCCTACAGTTAAAAAAATTCCTCCATCAATATCAACCAGTGTACAATACATAATTCCTTTATGTTTTGGACGTAAAGACATAATTCCGGTTCCATAAATTTTGACATAGCACAATAAACATTTAACATCTTTAAGTATGTGACCGAATTACCTTAACATTAAATGAATAGAGGACGGTCTGTTCAATGGTGGTTATATTTGTGTGAAGGATATTGAGTTGGAGGTCCTCTATAGCTGCAATGATCTTGATGAGCTGCCCAGGCCTCCTTCTTGACAGTATCTTGATCATGGCGTCGAACCCTAGGAGCTTGACCTCCACATCGGCAATGCACGACTTGCTCTCTGCCGTCTCCTCATGGAGCCCGGTGTCGAAGTCTGGGAGCTTTATTGGGTCGTTGGGGAGGCCGGGCAGTGGGGGAAAGAACTGGGGCTGCTGCGGCTGGTGAGGTGGCTGTTGCACAGGGAGAGAGGGTGGCGGCCCGCCGCCATCCCCGTAGAGCCGCCGCCGCTTCTGAGACTCGAGGCACTGGAGGAGTTGCTCCAGCTCCCTCACGAATTCAATGGCGCCTCCAATGATAGAAGCTTGATCTCCCTGTGGAAAGATTAAGCGAGACCCCTCACATTATTTCTTTGATTTTTTTTATCTTTTCTTTGGACTGCATAACTGAAATATGCATGGAATGAGATTGAAAGATTTAACAATCAAGTAATTGTGATTTATAAATAAAATATAGTATGATGGAGTCAATTACAAGGTATAAAATCTGCTGGTAATTTTTATTTTGAGACCTAATGTATAAATCTCCCTCTCTCTATGATTCGCTTGATGCAATAAAACGAGTTGAGAAATATTATGTACACGCAATGCAAAAGATTGGATCTCATGAAGCACACTTAGATCAATAATTTCTACAGCTCCTTTCTTTTGTTTCTTAATCTTCAAAATAAAATGTTTCATTGCATACCCTTTGTACGTAAGAGCCTGGCATGAGAGACCTCAGAACTCGGAGATGCTCGTTCATTTGCCTTCTCCTATTTCTCTCCACAGCTATATGAGTCATCCGCTGGCTCTCAACTTCCTCGCTTGTCTTGGTAGTCCGTGGCCGCTTCCTCTTGCTCTTGCTGGCCTCTGCCGCCACGGAACTCTTGTTGCTTTGCAAATCTTCCCCGAGAAAATGCAATTGCACAGAAGCATTATCGGGAAACCGAGCAGCTTCTCGATCCTCCCTAACTCCATCCTCGTCGTCGATTCTTCTTTCTTCGTTATTGTCATTCAAAACTGGAAACTTGAGAAAGCAAACCGGGTCAATCCCGGCTTCATCCTCGGAGTTGTGGCTCGCTTGGTTGAGGGCCAACTTGGGCCCAAAGTCCGCGAATTGCATCACATCTGCAAAGCTCAACTTGTCAAGAGAGCCAGAGCCAGAGAACCCGAGCGGAGATATCAATTGTTGATGGCCTTGTTGAGGAGGGTGATTCAGCATGTAATCCACCATTCCATTATTGTCACCGCTGCCACCGTCGTGGTGTAATGGGATTTCGACGACTCGTGATCTTACGAACTGATGGTGATGCTGATGTTGTTCATTGAAAGCGTGATTATCTTGGATGGCCTGAAAGGGAAGTTGTTCATGTTTAGAGCAATAATACAATATTGGAGAGAGAGTGAATCCAATGTCGACGAGATTTGTTCTGTCAATGAAAACTAACAAACAAGTGCAAATGATGGGGTTGCACAGTTTGTAGTACCGAGTAGTTCTCGTCTTTCTCCATTTGAATGTTTATATATATATATATACGCTTCTGTATGACTTCAATCAGAAAAACCCTAACAGAGCTCAGTTCTTCACGTAAGGACGAAAAGCCTGGTGAGATTTCACCCACCTTGGATCTCACACCTGAAATAATAGCACACACATCAAATTACACCAAAAGCAATTGAAATTCGTATAACCCAGTACAAATCTTTATCGTGTTTAGCTTCGAAGGACAAATTTATGAAACCAATGCAAGGTGAGAGAGTCGTGATGTGAACAAAACAGGAACCTGATTGGAGAGAGAGAGAAATGGTAATGGGACAAGGAGCAAAGTGGGGTTTTGGTGTTTATGAAGTTTGAGAAGGTTTTTGTTTGGACAAGATAAGGTGGTGGAGTCACGTGTTATAAAGGGCCAAGTTTGCCTTTTTGACTTAGAGAGAGAGAGAGAGAGAGAGAGAGGGAGAGCCTGTAGGGAGATAAATGCCCACCTCACAAAGTTTCACAGTTTCACCACCCTTTAATTAATGGGGGTCACAAGGGGCCAACGACGCTCTTTTTCTCTTGCTTTTCATGACTCTTATTAATCAAAAAGCTCGGGGCTCCACGGGGTTGAATTTGAAATACAAAAGTCCACCACGCTGGTTTTTGCGTGTTCAATGGAAATTGTGCTCGCTACAGGTCGACTGATTTAGGGTTTTGCATTCCTTGCTTCACTTTGACGAGACCATTTGTTCGATAACAATGATAAATGTGCTTCTAACAATGTTGAATTTGAAATGCAAAGCATATATATATATAGCTCTACATAAAATAGCTCAAATTTCCGACATGGTGGAGCGTGTTACTTATTGGTGAACTACATTTTGCCTCCCCAATTTTCGAGATTGAAGCAAGTTGCCCCCCAAAACTTCAATTTTGCAATTTACTTTTTTTTTTAAATTGGTTGTAATGTGCCCGTTAACATCGGCTCGAGCCAAACTTTGCTTGTAGCTCTCATCATTTGACTACACATGACCAGTTATGGAAGATTTTTATCACCTATATATATACACCATATGTAGATATATATGATTGAAAAAATAAATATACGTCTCAAAAATATATTTGCAAATTATATTTCTCAGTTACTCTCATCAAATTCTTGTTGAAATTTTTGTCACATGCCATTACGCGCAATATATTTCTAAGTTGTCCATGTAAATATTTATATGGTTAATTTCCCCTCGAAAATAAGTTATCATGTTGTCATGTGATGGAAGCTCCAAGCATAAATTGGGAAAATTGTCTCAAAAGTCTTAAATTTATTGCACATAAGCCGATTCAGTCCAAAATTTTCCAATTTGGGTAATTTAGTACTAAACCTTTTGAATATTTTCCAATATAGTCCTTTCGGCCAATTTTAACAAAAAATTTCTAACATGGTGGTTAAGGCAGCGTCGGTCATCCTATGTGACAACCTCCACTGTGCATTGTCAAGAGCCCGGCTACTGGTAAAAGGAAATAGGAAAATAAGAGAAAAGAAAAGCAAAAGGAAAGATAAAAAAGAAAAGCAAAAATTCAGAAAAATTAAATATTTTACAAAAATTATTCACGTCAACGTTGACCGTGATTGATAGCGTCAGCGATCTCTAGCCAAAATCGGTGGGAAGGACTACATTAAAAATTCGTCAAAATGTTTATGACTAAATTAACCAAATTGAAAAAGTTTAGAATTGAATTGGCTACCGTACAATATGTTTAAGATTTCTTGAGTAATTATCCCAGCACAATTTGATTAGAGTCAATGTTCGGGGCACATTGCAACAAGTTTAAAAAATTAAGGGGACAAATTGCAAATATTGAAATGTCAAGCGGCAATTTGCAAGAACCCTATAAACTTGGGGGTAATATGTAATTTGCCCAGTCAGGTTGTTTCCCCACCTAGTGTTACCATTCAATCACACTTATTCGGGTACTCCATATTTAGGGTTTCGATAGTAATTTTTACTTTTTACTAGTTTTGCAGCTCTTACAATTGATCTACTCAGTACGAAATGCCTCTTGATTTTAGTGATTTGGTACTTGCTTGGATAGCATAAGGGATAAGCAATCTCACGAGTCCACTAAGAGCGCCATGAAATATGAAACTCTGAAATTGTACATACTCATATCTGTAGACCATTTACTCCCTGCCTCAATGGTCAGAGATATTTTACCATCCAAGTTATGTGCATCTCTAAAAATCGAGACTATTGATGCCTTTGAATTTGATTAGACAATGCTCTCTCGATGGTAAAAGGTATTAATCCTTGTCCATGTATATTTAAATGATTTGGTCCCCAGTCAAGCATAAATATAGGGATATTATCAAAAAAGCTCTAAATCTATTGTACGGATGTCAATTTAGTTTTAAACCTATTAATTTGGCGAATTTAATTCTAAACTTTTTGACGATTTGCTAAAGTGGTCATTGCGGCCAATTTTAACCGAAAATCGCTGATGTGAACATTGGCTATCCTACATGGCATGAGCGGCGCTGATGTGGACAATTTTTGCAATTTTTTAATTATATTTTTCTTTTTTCCTCTTTTATGCCTTTTAATTTTTTCTTATTTCTTATTTCCCTCCACCAGTCCGCGGCCTTGGCATTGAGGCCAGGACACCTTCGCTAGATCTGAGCGAGGGGCTATGACTAGCGAGCCCTTGCCAGCAAAGTCAAAAAAAAAAAAAAGATAGCAAAATAAAAAAATGGAATATAGTAAAAAAGAATAAAAGGAAAAAAATAAAAAAAAATTATAAAAGAATTGTAAAAATTATCCACGTTAGTGCTGACTATCCTACGTGGCATGGCCAGTGTTCACGTTGGCAATTTCCGCCCAAAATTAGCAGGAAGGACTAAGTTGGCCAAATTGAAAATTTTAGGACTGAATTGACACTCGCACAAGAGATCTATGACTTTTTTGGTAATTTTCCCCCTAAATATACGTTTGTGATTCTCCACCACTGTTTGCTTTGCAAAAAAACATATCAAATGGAGAAAAATATTTTCCACGAAAAATATTTTCTAGCGAAATGACTAGTTTTTAGTTGTTTGGTGATGTACTAAAAAGCGAGAGGGAAAAAGTTTTTCAATATTTAGGCTTTACTTTCAAAATTATCTTCTTCGCAGTAATTATTTTTTGTTGATAATATAAGATACAAAGATGATATCAAAATCTTTGTCTAAGATATTATTAATCTATGAAGCATGAATTTTTAGTTATTTCTTTTTAAAATTAAAGCAACCTAAAAAAAGGTTGCCAAAAAAATAGAAAATGCAAATAACTACTTAATCTCTTAGTACTCACAAAACTACATATGAAATGATACTCCATTCCAAAAAAGTAATCAAAAAGTGGTACCACAAGAAGCAAAATGAAAAAGCAAAGAAAAAAGAAATTTCATTGTAAATTTGAAAATAAGAACTTTTTTAATTGGCATTTCCACAAACACCTTCTAAACTTTTTTTTAAGAATATGAGTCACATAGCCGAGTTAAAGTTCATATGACATATTATCATTTAGTCCAATACACCTATGTCATATCGAACGCTTATATGCTATTGAAGTTAATGGTAGGAATCAATTCGAAGAGAAGATGAAACAAATCGAGAGTTTATTATGAATAGAAGAAAAGGTATTGAAGGCATTGAAGATGAGTGAAGATGAGTAAGTAGGGAGAGAGAGATTACGTAGATTAAAACTCTGTGTGAGCGTGCACGAGCGTGCATGTGGAAAAATAGTTCAGAAAAATGATTTCTTCTTTTTAGGATGGAGGAATCATTTTTCTCAATTTTAAATATGGTTGTTTTCCCTGGTCATTAATTTTTTTATATTAATTATCCACTTTTAGCAGACCAAATACAAAAAGTTTAGAAAATCATTTCATGAAAATCATTTTCATGAGAACAAACACATCCTAAGGTTTTTATAAAGTTCCATAAGGCAAAGACTAGAGAATACTCAATACCACATGAAGAGTTGATTATGTGCTCATGCTATAAGAGTTTTTCTGAAGTGGGCTATATTAATTGATATTGAAATTCACTGTTTTACGAGGTGGTATAATAAGGTAAAATATAAAGATTCTTAATTAGTCTAACATGGAACTGACTTGTGTGGATCGAGTAGAGCCCAATCTATGATGAGAGGGCCTATAGCTAAAAACTCTACAAATAGTGCTCAAGTCTCTCGTCTAGCACTAATGCATAAATTACCTCACAAAAGGAACAGTTACTTAATGTTTATCGTGAGGGGCAATCTTATTAAGCAAGTAATAAAGAGGGTAATAGAGGAGAAGCATTTGAACCCATAATCGTTACTATTCCGCATTAAGAATGATGTATTTTAAATCAGGTGCGCAAATCCTTTTTCTCGATTACTATGTTCTAGTTTTCTGACTATGGATCTTGGGGTGTTGTTTTCACGGCTTACATGTGCTATTAGAGTCATCATAGTCTAAGGCTAGAACCTTTGAATTTTGCTTGTTTTTGGAATTTTTGTTTGATGAAATTTGATTTTGATCACATAGATGGATATATCTCGTCAAGACAAGAATTTTGATAGGTCACACGCCTCTAGGGGATATTGCATGTATCGCCAAGCAATCGTCACCTAGCGTTGCATGCGCTAGGGCTGACGTCAACAACCCACTGACACGGGTCAACTCGATTGACCGTGGGTGACCTAACCCTACCCGCTAACGCGTTGACTTGACCCAGTTGACCATTGATTAGACCGGTCAGTTCGGCGATCCATGCCAGATAAAGCACGCCGAGAGTGCGCTATTCACACCGGTGCACTCAAGCGGCACGTGAATTCATTTGGATTGTGCTGAGTGCTAGTGTTCTCGTACTTGATGCTCTATAATTTGGTATACTTATTTTACACATTTGATGCTTTTAAGGATGTGAAAATGCGCATGGAATCCTATATACGTGTATTTTTAGGGTATTTTTGGTATTTTTTTCCTATATTTCTCTATGGTTTCGGAAATACAAATGCTAGCTCACATGTATATCATCATAGATAGATTGTGTAGAGCATGATTCTTTGATAGCATGTATAAGTTTTAACATGCATCAATGAATGAAACAATGTAATTGTCATGACATGTGATTTAGTAACAAATTGCCCTTGTCTTCAAGTCTAAATTTATATGTATATGGTTAAAGTGAGACATAAAGTTTATATCCCTAGTGCGAGAGAGTTTCAAGGATTCAATTGGGTTGTGACTGCTAAAGTGACACACTTAATTTGATTTGAGAAATATCGGTATAAAACCCCTGCTTGGCAAAAGAGCAATCGGATTTGCTTGTTATCAATGATACAGTCCATTCAGAAACACTTGAAGAGTGGTTTACTAGCT